AGCCGGAGACCGCACCTGGGCCAACAGGCCGAAGATCTGATGGAGTGAAACCGCGATACGCTCCACGCCTTCGTACGACTCGGCCGCCACGGCGCCCGAGCTCAGCAGAGTAATCAGGTCGTCCTCGGCGTGGCAGAGAAGCGGCGCAAGCCTCCACTGCGGCAGGGTCGTAGGTGGGCGCCATCGACATCGCCCGTTGGTCACAGCCTCGTTTCGCAGCAGCGACATGGACGACGCCTCACGCTCTTCTTGCCGCCCGACGCCACAACAGCAGGCAAAGCGCCAGCGACCTCACATAGCAGCCGCATCTTGGCCGACGCCTGCGCGAGCGCCTTGAGTGCGCCGACAACAGAGTCGTCGCCGCCACCCACCGACTCGTTGTTTTGAGCCAGCAGCTCCTGCGAGGCCGCGCCCTTGGCCATCGAACTCACCACACCGGAGATCGAAGCCTCCAGCGCGTCCATCAGCGCGTCGCGGGTGGTGTCGTCGCTGGCCTCGGGTCCGATCCGCGCATCGGCCCAAAACGCAGCCGCAAGGCCGTCCACCAGAATCTCGAATCGCGGGCCGTCGATGATGCCCTCCGCGCTGGAAACAGTGGCATGCAGCGCGCGCGCGCGCTCCGAGACGAGACCCAGGCGGCGGAAGCCCTCAAAGTAGAGCACGTCGTCCGAGATGATGCCCTCGCCGCGGGCAACGCGATCAAGCGCGTCCATCGCGTCGCGGGTCGCCGCCGACCAAGCCGCAACCATGGCTTCGCTCCGCATGAGCGCCGAGAGCCAGCGCCAGCGCAGGAGAAAGGCTTGGCGGGTGGCAAAGTCCCAGTCAGCCGGAGACCGCACCTGGGCCAACAGGCCGAAGATCTGATGGAGTGAAACCGCGATACGCTCCACGCCTTCGTACGACTCGGCCGCCACGGCGCCCGAGCTCAGCAGAGTAATCAGGTCGTCCTCGGCGTGGCAGAGAAGCGGCGCGAGCCACCAAGTGTAAAGGCCCCACACGTGGGCGCCATCGACATCGCCCGATGCGACACCGGCCGAGAGCTGGAGCAGCGACATCGACGACGCCTCGAGCTCCCCTGCCTCAGCCATGTGCTCGGTCCAACAGTAGCCTTGGTAAAGCATGCGAGCGAGGATGCTAACGTTGCCGCCGAGAGTGGCAACGGCGGCGACGTCGGCTGCAGACGCGCCGGCCACCGATCCAGCCCACAGATCGCGGAGACGGGAGCGGAACGGCAACTCAACATACGTCGTCACCACATACTCGGCAAGGCCCAGAGCGCGAGTGAGCTTTGTCATGGACTCGGCGACGCGGGCACTGCAGTCGGTAGTTCCGACGGCGGTCTGCACAGCATCGGCGACACGCCGCAGCGATCGCACCGCGCCAGCCAGCCCGCGGACCACTGCATCGAGCTCGTCGGCATCAACAGCCTCGAGCGCAAGAACTAGCGCAATAAACAGGACATAGTGCTCGTCGCCAGACGCCGCCGCCGCAGCGGCCAGCGCCTGCTCGGCGCCGGAGGCCAGAGGCCGCGGCGCCTCATCGGTCGCCCGCTCGCCCGAAGCGTAGCAGGCTGGCAAGAGGCACCAGTCCGCGGGACTGAGATGACGGACAAGGATGGCGTCGAGGCCTGCGGCACGCGCCGAGTGCTCGAGCGAGGCAAATGCTTCGTCCCAAACGATGCCAAAGGCGCTTGCGGCGGCGGCCTCGAGGAGCCAGCGCGAGACCTCGGTGACGTCGGTGGCACGGGCGGTAGCCGGCGAGCGTGCGAGCGCGCCGAGGGTAGTCAACCGCGGCCAGAGGCCAGCTGCGGTGAGCGTGCCGCCAGCGGCGTGGACTAGGGCGGCAGTGGACGGGACGACCGCATCGGGACCGTAGACCTCGGAGACGACGCTGCTGAGAATGGGGGCAACCGGAACGGCCTCGCGCTCCAGCGCGTTGACGACGAGCGCCGAGGCGTCGCGGAGCTGGGTCAGCGACGCGCCGGGCACCGAGGTGTGTGCTGCGGTGAGTGCGAGCGGAAGGACCTTACCGGGCACACCAGCAGCGGCAGTGAGGGCGAGCAAGTCGCGCTCCGAGCTTGGGACCGGGAGCACAATCTCCACGCCACGGTTGCGCATGGCGCGTGAGACCTCGCCAAACTGCGGATCAAGGGCAAGGATGAGGCGGAACTCGGGGTGCGGAACGATGACCTTGACCTCGCCGTCGACCATGCCGCGCTCGGTGACAGTGAGCACGCCATTGGGCTCGAGCAGTGGGTTGAGGCGGTCGAGAACAGCAGCCGACGCGAGGTTGGCGTTGTCCAGGAGAACCCAGGCGCCGGACTCGAGAGCCGAGATGAGGGCGCCATCGAGCCACTCGAAGCGGCCGACGGTCGAGTCAACGCCGCGCGGCAGGCGCGCAAGCTTGGCAGAAACGGTCTCCAGACCATCGACCACGCCGGGCTCGCACCCGACGGCGTCATTGAGCTTGGCCACAAGCTCGACAATGGTGTCGAGTGCCGAGAGCGCGGCGTCGGCCGAGGCGTCGTTCGGAAATGCATGCCAGGCGTGTCCGAGGGCAGTGGCAGCGGCGGCAACACCGGGAGCGGCGCCGGGCGACGAGGCGACCACCAGGCCCGAGGCAAGGACGGTGCGGACGAGCGGGCCGAGCATGCCCTTGAGCTCCTGAGCATGGCGAACAAGGTCCATCTGCTCAAAGCCGCCGAGCAGCTCCATGGCATCGATAGAGTGGTTCATGGCCAGCTCAACGAGGGCATGGCCAGTGAGACCTGCGGCAGCGCGGACGAGCGAGGTCTTGCCGGACGCGGGCGGGCCGACGAGAATAGCCATCCAGCGCATTTCGAGAGTCTTAAGCAGAGCCTCAAGCGGCTTGCGCTGGGCCTCGAGCGGGAGTGCCGGCTGAGCGCCGAGAAGCAGCGCCTTTTGTGCGCCCGGCAGGCGCGGGACCGAGGCCAGGCCGACGCGGACAGCATCGGGCGCGACGGCAAGCGCCGGAAGGGCGTCGAGGCGGACGGCAGGTGGCAGCTGCTCGCCGGTGACCCGCTCAAAGAGAGCGACCATGGCGTTGACGTCGGCCGGTGTCCGCATGCGGACGAGGTACATGAGCGAGATCCATGTGGCCCAGTGGACGTCTGGATGGGCAACAACGAGCTCGCACCAACGGGCTGTGTCACGGAGGTTGAACTCCCACGGCGCCCCGGCGCGGGCAAAGGCGCGATCACGGGTGATGGCGGCGGTGGCAGCGGCGTTAAAGTCGACCATGGCCGAGAGGGCAGCCGGAGCAAGAGTGGGGAACTTGGCGCGGAGAATGGCGAGGAGGTCGACGCGAGTGAGCTCGGAGAGGTAGACCTGGGTGAATCGGTTGAGGAACGACTTGGGCAGGCCCTTGCGCCCACCGCCCTGCTCGAGCGGGTTCTGGCATGCAAAGAGACGAAAGTGCGGCGAGGCCGGGAAAGTTCGGCCAAGCTCAGGGATAAAGACCTCAGCGCGATGATCGAGGCAGGCGTTGAGACCCTCGAGGACCGACTGAGACGCAAGATTGAGCTCGTCAAGGAGGACCCAGTCGCCTGCGCGGAGCGCCTGAAGGAAGACGCCATCGCGCCAGGCAAACTGGCCGGGTGCTCCGCCCTCGACCGGCAGGTCCGAACCAAACAGGTCCATGATGTCGGTCTGCTCCGAGAGGTTGATGCGGACGACGCGCTTGCCAGCGGCGCGGGCAAGGGCGACGACGAGCGAGGTCTTGCCTACGCCCGGCGAGCCCTCAAGCAGGATAGGCTTGCCCGGGAGCTGGAGAGCACGGAGGACACGAAGGGCGTTGGCAGAGGGCGTCGGGGCGTCAAAGGCAAAGTCGACGGTGCCTGCAGAGCCGGCAGCGAGTGCGGCGCGGACAGCGTCCGGCGAGGCCGGGATCATAAACGGCGGGATGCCGACGCGCCCAGCATCGGCGTCAATCTGGAAGGCCAGGCTCGAGTTGAGCGGGTTTGCAGCGCTCCGCTGGTCGGCCGACGGCAAGTCAAAGTCGAGGAGAGCAGCGAGGAACGAGTAGGCATCGGCGGCAACGTCTGCGCCTGCCGGCGAGGCGAGGCCATCGAGAAAGACGATGGCGGCGCCGTGGAGGGCAGCGAGCTCGATGCCAAGCTCTTCGGCGGTGATGTTGATAAAGGCGGCCCAGGCAAGCATGTCACGGATGGAGATGACGAGCGAGGCAGCGCCAGAGGTGCCGAGTGCGGCCGCGTCCTCGTCGAGCGACCAGTTGAGAAGGGCGGGACGGGTGGTGTCCGAGGCGAGGGCGTTGCGGAGCGCTGTTGCGGCGTGGGCGAGGTCGCGGTGTGAGGGCGAGGGCGGGGCAATCTCGTGCGGCGCCTTGAGGAAGCGAATGAGGTAGAGCATGTAGATGACGAGGCCCGGGAAGGCGTCGCGGATGGCCGGCGCAATGTGAGCGTCGAGGATGGCAGCGAGATCGCAGGCTGCCGTCAGCGGCGGGACCCAGATCTCTGTGAAGCGGTTGCGGAGGGCGGGCGAGAGCTCCTTCTTGCCAAATCACCGCCGGGGTTCATGGTGGCGAGCACGGCAAAGCCCGGGGCGCCACGGAGCGTCTCCGGCGCGTCGCCGCCCTTTTCGGCGAGGACAAGCGTCTTTGACGGCTCGAGAACTGAGTTGAGGCGCTCGAGGACGGCGTCCTCGGCAAGCGAGATCTCGTCGATAAGGAACATGTCGCCGGCCTTCATGGCGGCCGGGAGCGGGCCGTCGTACCATGCAAAGAGGGTGCCGTGGGCGTCGACAAGCTCGTCGAGGCCGGCGAGCTCGGGGTCTTCTGCACGCGCTGCCTGCGGGAGGTCGCGGTAGGCGGCGATGAGCGAGTCGAGATCAACGTCGTCGCCGAGGGCGGCGATGGCCGGGGCGAGCGCGGATGCGGCGGCGAGCTTCTCGCCCAACTCTGCGGCGAGGGCAGAGCGGTTGCGGAGCGGGCGGAGCGAGCCCAAAAAGTCAGAAGTCTCTGTATGCTGGTGGACGTTGAGGATGACAAGGCGCTGGCCGCGGAGGCGGGCGAGGAGCTGGCAGACGGTGGTCTTGCCGGCGCCTGTGGCGCCTACGAGAAGGACCGACTCGCCGGCGGCGATGGCTGCGGCAACAAGCGCAAGCATGCGCGTGAGGCCTGGGGTGAGGACAAGATCGTCGGCGTGGCTCGAGTCCCGGAGGCTCACAACGGCCTCGGCGTCGTCGTAGGCAGACGAGGCTCGAGGGCGACCTTGAGGTGCTGGGCGAGAGCGGTAGCGACGTGGGCCTTCTCGGCATCCGAGCGAAGGCGCTCTGCGAGGAGCATGTAGCCGGCGAGTGCGAGCTGGTCGTAGCCAGACGGCGAGCGCTCGGCCCAGCGGAAGAGGTCGCGCGGGGTGATGAAGCCGTGCTTGCCCGCAAAGACGGCGTCGTTTGAGCGGACGCGCTGGAGCTGGGTCATGACAGCGACCATCTTGGTGGCGTACGACTTGGGCATGGCGCAGCGCTTCTCAATGATGACGGCGAGCTCGTCGGCGGGAATGTCCTCGACGTGGAGCTGGAGGAAGCGGTTGGCAAAGGCCTTTGAGAGGACCTTGCGGCCGCCGTAGAGACCCGGCGGGTTCTGGGTGGCAAAGAGGCGGAAGGCCGGATGCGGGGTGATCCGGGCACCGGTCTCGGGAATGAAGAGCTCGCGATTGTCATCAAGGAGGCGGTTGAGGGCCTCGAGGACCTCTGACGGGGCGAGGTTGAGCTCGTCGAGAACAAGCCAGGAGCCGGAGCGAACAGCCTGGACGAGGAGGCCCTCCTGGAAGACGAGCGATCCGGAGGGGCCGGCAACGTAGGAGCCGATGTACTCTTGCAAGTCGGTGTGCTCGTGGTTGTTGATGCGGACAAAGTCGTGGCCTGTGGCGGCGGCGAGGTACTCAACCATGGACGTCTTTCCGGCCGACGTGGGGCCTTGCAGGAGGATGGGGTACTTGCCGGCGAGGATGCCACGGGCGAGGTTCTTGAGATGCATGCGGACGGTACGAGTGAGAATAAACTTGGGATTAACGACCGGCTTGTTGGGGCCTGTGGAGAGCCAAAAGTGCTCAAAGAGAACGTGACCGTCGCCCGGATGGGCAGGAGGCTTTGTGAGCTGGTGCAACTTGCGCGAGGCGAGGAGGGTGTCGGTCATGATAGAGCCGAGCTCGTCTTGGGCCGCCGCCGAGAGCTGGGTCATAAACGCCATGGAGAAGCCCTCGTAGAGAGCACGCTCGAGACCGTAGGCCGGGCCGAGCTGAGCGGTAAAGGAGAGGGCGCGAGTGAGGGTGCGGAGCGAGTAGACCGGGCGAAGGCCGGCGCCGTCGGTGAGCGAGGACGTGGCGGCGGCGCGGGCGGCCGAGTAAAAGGCGACGACGGGCTGGACGGGCGGCGAGGGGAAGACGCCGTGGAGGTAGGCGCGGACGACGAGGCCGAGGTCTGTGGCGGATGTGAGCTCGGGGACGTAGAACTGCGAGAAGCGCGAGCGAATGCCCGGCGGCAGATCCTGCTTGCCGACGTCCGTGGCCGGGTTCATGGCAGCAAAGAGGCGGAAGTTGGGGTGCGGGCGGAGAGCCTGGACGTCGCCGCGCTCGGTGAGGAAGAGATAGGCCGAGCCTGCGGGCTCGAGGAGGCCTGTGAGGCACTCGAGCGCAGCGGGCGAGGCGAGGTTGATCTCGTCGAGAAGGACCCAGTCACCGGCGCGGAGGGCGCGGACAAGATCGCCCTCGACAAAGGCAAAGGCAAAGGAGGAGGTGAGGGCGTCCTTTTGTTTGGCGAGGGCGTCGAGCGAGGCGGCGAGGGCGGACCAGCGGGTGCGGAGGTTGGGCCGCAAGTTATCGCGGGACTCGAGCATGGAGAGCGCCGAGGTCATGCCGCGGAGGAGGACGGACCAGCGGGAGCGGGCAAAGGCGCCGTGGAGCTTCTTGAGAAACTTTGCGTTTGCCGACCTCGAAAAGGTGGCGCCGAAGAGCTGATCAAACTCGTCGAGGAGCGGGGCGAGGAGGAGGCGCATGTTGACGGGCTTGAAGCCGCCAAGGAGCTCGGTGACATCGGTCTGCTGGTTGAGGTTCTGGACGCGGAGAGCGACGCCGAGGGCCGAGGCGAGGAACTGCAGAGCGGTGGTCTTTCCGGATCCGGTCTCGCCAATGAGGAGGAGCGGTTCGGCGAGCGAGACGGCGATGCCCATCTGGAGGGCGAGGCGGAGGAAGGTCGAGGTGAGGGCAAAGTGCGGGGCCTGGGCCGGCGGGGCCTCTGTGGGCAGGGTGAGCGGGCCGATGGTGAGCGACGAGGCCGTGGACGAAAGCTCGGGCGTGTGGTCGTACATGTAGTACTCTGCGCGTGCGGCCGGAAGGTTGAGGCAGGTGTTGGCGATGTAGCGAGCGAGCTCGTCCTGCAGCTCACGTTTGGGGAGCTTTGCGCAAAAGGCCGAGAGCGCGGCCTGGAGCACGACCTCAGCGGTCGCCTGGGTCCCGGCCAGGGCGTGCTCGAGGGCGGAGTCGGAGCCGAGGCCGAGCAGCGGGAGGCGCGCGACAAAGCGGAGCAGGTCGCGCGGCGTGAGCTCGATCGAGAGCCGCAGGGTGGTCGAGATGGGAGCCGAAGGCGGAAGGTGGGCGATCGAGACGTAGACGCCAACGAGGCGGGACGCGAGGCAGGCGAGGCGCGGGAAGCGCGCTGCAACAACGGCAACGAGCTCGTCCTCGGCGAGCGGGGCGAGCTTGACGGTGTGCCAGAGGTGAGCGAGCGGGGTGGAGGCTGCGCGGGCGGCGGCGGAGGAGCTGGCGAGCGCGTAGCGGTCGGTGAGGGTGGCAAAGAGGCGGAAGGAGGGCGCGGCGGCGATGCGGAGGCCGCGGCCTGGGATGAGGACCGACCGCGACTCTAGGACCGGGATGAGAGTGGAGAGGAGCTCGGGCGGCGCGGCGTCAAGGTCCTCGATGACTAGCCAGTTGCCGTCGAGGAGGCAGCGAGTGAGGGTACCGGGTTGCCAGACAAACTCACCAGGCGCCTCGCCGCAGACGTAGCCGCCGAGCAGCGACTTGGCGTCCGTCTGGTCGGAGAGGTGCAGCTTGACGGTGGTGGGCACGCCGAGGGTGGCGCCGAGGTGTGTGATGAGGGCCGACTTGCCGCATCCGGGTGGGCCGCGCACAAGGGTCGGCATGGCAAGCGATACAGCCGAGGCGAGCGAAGTCAAGTTGCGCTCGGCCGAGGCGGTGAGGACAAACGGCTCGCTCGCGGTGGCGGCGTCGACGGCAGGCGCTGCCGAGGCGCGAGTGGCGCGGGCGAGGAGGACACCGCAGACATCGACCATGTGCTCGTGCGAGAGGGCAGCGGCTGTGACTGGCCAGCGGCAGGCGGCGGGATGGCTGGGCGGCGCAAGCGGCGCCGCCGCGAGAGCCGCGCCGTGAGCCGCGCGGAGGGCAGTCAGCCACGCGTACGGCACGCTCTCCTCCTCAGCGGGCAAGAGCGGGGCGAGCCGGGCCTCGATGGCCTGCCGCTGCTTGGCCGGCAGGTCGAGGACGAGGGTGGCGAGGGCGAGGCCAAAGCGGGCGAGAACTGGCGGGAGGGCCGGGAGGTGGGCCACGAGCCGGAGCGGGAGCGCCGAGGCGAGGAGCGGCTTGAAGGCTGCAGGCGCAACGCAGAGAAGTAGAAAGGCGGCGCGAAGGGCAGCATCCAGCCCATCGATGTCGTCCTGCGCCAGCTCAAGGGCAGGAGGAGCAGGCTCACTGCTCGCCTCGGAGGCATCACCACCATCGTCTGCAGCCGGATCGATGGGAAGGAGCGACTCGAGGCGACGAAGCAGTGGCGGCGAAGTGGCAAAGAAGGGAAGTGCGAGCTCGAGCGTATGAGGGGCGAGGAGAAGAGCATGAGCCAGGCCGAGAGCTGCCCGTTCAAAGGCGGCGAGCGGGAGGGGATTGGCAGCATGAGCAGCACGAAGACGGAGGACAAGTTCAGGAATGAGCGGACGAAAAGCAGGGAGAATGACCGGAGCAGCTGTAGCAGAGTCAGAAAAGGTCATCGACGCCAGTCCCGTCAGGAGCTCATCCGTCTCTGATGCCGTCAGCGAGTGTGTCTGTGGGGGGGGAGGGGGGGTCGGGGTAGGGGAGGGAGGTAGGGTAGGTAGGGTAGGGTAGGTAGGTAACGG